GGAGCTAAGGACATACAGTGGAGAAAGGCAAGTCTCTTCAATAAACGGTGCTGGGAAAACTGGACAGCCACTTGCAAAAGAATGAAAGTAGACCATCTTCTTTCACCATACACAAAAATTAACTCAAAATGGATCCAAGACCTGAAAGCGAGACCTGAAACTATAAAACTCCTGGAGGAAAATATAGCTAGTACACTACTCGTCATCAGCCATAAACGGATATTTTTGAATTCCATGTTTACTCAGATAAGGGAAACAAAAGAATAAATAAACAAGTGGGACTTCATCAGATTAAAGAGCTTCTACAAGGCAAATGAAACCAGGATCAAAATGAATAGGGAACCCACCAGCTGGGAAAAAAATATTTGCAAATCATATATCTGACAAGCGATTAATCTCCATAATATATAAAGAACTCACACAACTGAATAACAAAAAAACAAACAACCCCATCAAAAAATGGACAGAGGAAATGAAGAGACACTTCTCCAAAGAAGATATACAGATGGCCAATAGGCACATGAAAAGATGCTTAACATCACTAATCATCAGGGAAATGCAAATCAAAACCACACTAAGATATCATCTTAGACCCATTAGAATGGCTATAATCACCAAGACAAAAAGTAACAGATGCTGGAGAGGCTGTGGAGAAATGGGAACCCTAATCCACTGCTGGTAGGAATGCAAACTGGTGCAGCATCTATGGAAAACAGTATGGAGATTCCTCAAAAAATTAAAAATAGAAATACCTTATGATCCAGCTATCCCACTACTGGCTATCTACCCAACAAACCCGAAATCAACAATCCAAAGAGGCTTATGCACACCTATGTTCACTGCAGCATTATTCACTATAGCCAAGACATGGAAGCAACCCATGTGTCCCTTGACTGATGACTGGATAAAGAAGATGTGGTATATAAATACCATGGAATACTACTCAGCCATAAAAAAAGACAAAGTCGTCCCATTTACAACAACATGGATGGACCTGGAGGGTATTATGTTAAGTGAAATAAGCCAGAAAGAGAACGACAAACAGTGCATGATTTCACTCATATGTGGAAGATAAACCAACACACGGACAGATAGAACTGTTTGGTGTTACCAGGGGCTAGGGGGGTGGGGGGTGGGCACAAGGGGTGGATGGATGCACTTATACGGTGACTGATAAACAATAAGGTACAACAAAAATTTCACAATAAAAAAAAGTTAAAAAAAAATTAACTGGGCCTGCCTCTTCCTCCAGCTCCCTTTCTGTCAGATGAAACCTGGACATGGCAGCAACTCAGCTGATGACTACATGTCCTAACACGGCAAAATAATACAGTGGAAAAACTTGTCCCTGCAGTGATCATATGGAAGAGAGCCTCATCACTAAACTGGGTCACTCACCTATGAACTGTTAAGTGGGAAGAAATAAACTCTTTATTCTTTAAAAAAAAAAAGAAAAAAGAAAAGAAAAAGAAAATGTAAGGAACTAAAAGATCCCAAATACAATAGCCACACAAAAACATAAGGTATGTGGGAATAAATCCAAGAAAAGACATGCAAAAAGTTCATGGAGAAAAATTATAAAACTTTATTAATGATGCTAAACATTACTTAAATGTTTATGGCATAGCAACACTGAATATGATAAAGATGTTATTCCTTCCCAAACTGACTTACAGATTTAATGCCATTCAATCCAGATCCCACTGGCACTATTAGAGAAATTTGAAAAGTTGAATTTAAAATTTATATGAAGCAGCAAAAGCTGAAGAACAGTCAAGATACTCCTGAAGAAGAATAAGGTGTGATTCTTAGATAAGATTTTTCCTTCTTCTTAGATTAGAGATGTTCTTAAATCTCCCTCTTAGATAAGATTATTTTAAACAGCTGTAGTAGAGTACTGTATTAGTTTAGTGACATCTAAATTGACCTTTGGAAGTCAATAGTAACCCCATAAACAGACTGAAGCTGGAATGGGTACTGGAAGCCTCTTCCTGTGCCAGGTTTAACCATTTCACTTTTGCACTGTGGGGAGGTTAGGAGATTCCAGGGGAGGGACCTGGGTGGCCCAAACTGTGGGGTTGAGGGTAGTAAGGAGGCTCAGGGCAGTGACTATATACTAACAGTAATCGAACTATTTTAGTATGTTAGCAACAGGTACAGAGCCAAACAGTTGTGTACTGGCTTCAATTAGCCGTGCACACTTGATACATGACACAGTAACTTTTTAGATCATTGGGAAAAGGACGGACTATTCGATCACGGGTGCTGGAAAATTAGACATATGGAAAATACATATATATACATACATATGGTTATACATATGGAAAAAAGTTAAATAGAATCCTCAACTCATACCATAATGGAAATCATTTTTAGATGGATTACAGTGGGTTAAAAGTAAAGAGTAATACTTTAAGACTTTTGGAATAAAATTGTGGCAGCAATGTTGGTAGCGATGTTGGCACAAAGATTGGGTACCTCTCCCACAGATGAGAGTTGTTGCTGGGAAGAGGTTGCCCAGTTATGGACTACATTTCCCAGGTCTCTTTCCACTTGCATAGGGCCATGCGACTGAATTCTGGCCAACAGAATGTGGACTGAAATAGTGTACACCAGTGCTTCTCAAACTATCTGTGGTAATGTACCATTTCTCCCCAATCTATTGTGGACCAATACCTTTGTAAACTACAATAAATATACATTACTGGAAAATTGAAATTTAAAAAGTCATACCAAACAAGTCCATTTTTAAAATAATTAGATTCAACAACATAAAATTACTTTGTCAAAATGCTGTTAGCACCAGCCCAGTGGCATAGTGATTAAGTTTGCGCACTCCACTTTGGTGGCCTGGGGTTCGCAGGTTTGGATCCCTGGCACAGACCTATGCACCACTCATCAAGCCATGCTGTGGCAGTGTCCTATATAGGAAATAGAAGAAGATGGGTACAGATGTTACCTCAGGGCCAATCTTCCTCACCAAAAAAAGAAAAAAACAATTGCTATTTAAAGTTTGCAAACACTTATTCTCAATTTCTGTAATTTTCTGTTATGGAGAGGTGAAAAACAGTTTGCAGACCAGCAGAAGTCAGGGGCCAAAATAAAATATTTATGGCCAAAAGATTAAAAAATTGACTACACTAAAAATAAGAATTTATGTACATGAAAAATCACCATAAAGATAGTAAATGAAAACAAATCACAAACTGCAAAAAGATATTTATAATACATATAACAAACATTCAGAATACATAATATGATCCTACAGATCAATATAAAAAAAGGTGAATGACTCAATGGAAAAATGTACAAGTATATAAACAGGAATTTCACAGTAGAGGAACCATGAATACAAAATTAGAATTTGAGAAGGTGCACAATCACATTAATAATCAGAGGAATGCATATTAAGACCACAGCTAGATACTAAGTTTCTGAGATGATGTGGCTGAATCAGGAACTCTCACCCACTGATAGTGAAGTGTAAATCAGTTCAACCACTCAAGAGAATAATTTGGTATTATCTTGTAAAGTTTTACATTCCTACCCATTATCATCCAACAATTCCACTCATAGGTATATATACTCTAGACTCCTGCAACATATAAGTAGAACTGCCATATTTAGCAAACAAAAATAGAAGATGCCAGTTAAACTATATTTAAGATAAAGAACGAATAATTTTTTAAATTGATCTGAAATTTAAATTTAATTTTGCCTCATGTATTTTTTCCGGTCATCCCACAAATAACAGCAGACATGTACAAAAGTGTTCATAGTAGCACTGTTCGTAATACCAAAATCTGGAACCCACCTAAATTTACATTGAGAAAATAAAAGATAAACTGTATATTCACACGATGTAATATTAGGCAACAGTGAAAATAAATGAACTACAGCTATGAGCAATAACATAATTGAATCTTAGAAGCATTAGCTTTAAGAAACAATTCAAAGAATATATATTAGAAACTGCATTTTCTAGCCATCTTTATGGAACTCAAAACCAACCACAGCTAAACAATATATTGTTTAGCGATCCATACACATGTGGTAAAATATTTACAAGAGAATGAGAAACAAAATAAGGTAGTTGTTACTAAGATAGTGGTAAAGGCAGGGGAATAGGTTAGAGGAGGAATTCACAGATTGACGGGACGGTGTTGCTAATGTTCTGGTTCCTACACACGTAGAAGGTACACAGGTGTTCATTTTACCGTTATGCTTCTTATTCAGATGTTACACAAGTTTCCCTGTATATATAAAACATTACACAAAATTTAAAAAATAGATCAATGATCAGGAAAGTTAAGTGAGTTGAATCTGCAGACAGAAAGCCCAATGCTTTTCTCGTAGGATATCTTTCCTAAAGAATAAAAATAGCATGCCCTGCAATCAGAGAAATCGTGAAAAGTAGAAAATGCTACTCCATAGCTAGCTCCTGGGAGAAGCTAGGAGATGGAGTGTACACAGAAGGCCAATTCACCAAATAATCAGCAAGTATATATACAGTATATACTTTCTGCTAAGTACTGTGCTAGATGGTAGCGTAGGGGTGTGCCGGGGTGCTGGGAGAAGTTCACAAGAGCTTCTCAAGAGTGGCTGCGGAAGACTGCTGGGACTACAACGAGAGAGCTGTACATTAGGCACCGTATCCTGTGGGTATAGACTATAAGAGAATGTGTCCAGTCCACTTCCTAGTAAACCCTCTTCTTTAGCTTCTCCTTCCACGTGGGGGTGGGTTGAGGCTGGGAACTGTTCCTCCCTAGCTATGGAAGTTGACTTCTGTCACTCTAGGATCACTTAAAGGAGAGTGATAGTAATGGTAAACCCAATTTACATAAGCTAGCTAATGTAGACCTAAAATCCTTCTTGGGCTCACACGGCACTTCAGACGTAAACCTCTCCAAAGAACTTCAAAGCGCTGACCTCACTCCTCTAAGTAACGGGGCGAGCAGCCGCTAAAGCAGCACGCACTCACGCCAGCGCAGGAAGCATCGCGAGCTCGCGCGAGCCCGGCTGGAGGCGGAGCTGAAGGGGCCGGATAACACGTCACGGAGCGCGTTGCGTCACGTCGTAGCGGGCGGGGCGACCGGGCCTGGTTTCCTGGGCGACCGCCGCTGGCTGGTCCCTGAGCCGGGTGCGGGCATCGCCGGCATGGGGACTCCTCCCGGCCTGCAGGCCGACTGCGAGGTGCTGCTCAGCCGCTTCCAGGAGACGGACAGCGTGCGCTTCGAGGACTTCACGGAGCTCTGGAGGAGCATGAAGTTCGGGACCATCTTCTGGTGGGTGTTTCTCGTCTGCTACGCGCCTCTCTCCGGGTCAGAGGCGGCGTGGGCAGTTACTTCCTTGCCTTTGGCGTCGCCGCACCTGGGAGGGCTGAGAAGAGCGGCGGTCTCTGACCGCTCTCTCCATCCCCCCTGCGCCTGTGCTCGGGCTACGCGCTTTCCCTCGGCCATGTCATTGGCTTCGGCTGCGTCCTTTTGCGGCCTCTTCCCAAATATGTCTCTCTGCCTGACTGCCCTTCTCTCTCCTCCATCTCCACTGCCTCCCCCTGACCTGGTCACCATCATTTGCTCTCCTCCAGTCTTGTTCTCCTAGAACACCGTGTTTAAAAACAAACGCCTAAACAAAGACGAACCCCTGCACTATTGAATTCGTTTTTTTTCGCCCAACAACCAGTTATCTTTCTAAAGTGCAGATTTGAACCTGTCACTCCCCTGCTTACCACCCTCCAGTGGTTTCCATTGCCTTTGGGATGCAGCTCGAATTCCCTAACATGGCTGGCAGGACCCTCCGTGAGGGGCCTCTGCCCGTCTCTGCAGCTTCGTCTTCCAGTCTCCTCCATGCACCCACGTTCTTGCTCCAGCATCTGCCTGTGGCCTCTACAGGCGTTCCCTCGGCCTGGAGCTGTCCCCCAGCTCCCTTGCCTGGCCACCTTCTTCCTCATTCAGGTTTCAGCTCAAAGGACAGTTCCTCGGAGAAGCCTTCTTTTGCCCTTCCAGACTAAGTAAGGCGTTCACGCCCTTTTTTTCCTATAGCAGTCTGTGCTTATTTTATCTCTTGACTTACCACATTTTATTGTAAGTGTGTAGTTCAAAAGGCAGTGTAGTGTCGTGGTTCAGAGCACAGATTATGGAGCCTAACTGCTTGAATTGGAGTCAGTCCACTAACTGACCTCGGGCGAGTTACTTGGCTGAGCTTCCTTATCTGTAAAATAGGGACAGTATAATGCCACATATTGTAGTGCTCAGGATTAAATGAGCTACAGTATGTTAAGTGCACTGTAAGTACTCAATAAGTGTTCATTTTATTTTTTAATTTTCCCTCCCCTTGACAGAGCTCTGTGAGAACAGTGACTGGATGAGTCTGGTATTCCATTAGCATAATACATATAATATTGAAAAGGCTAAATAATTGACTGAATGAATGAGTTCTTGTGATTAAAACTGTTTTGCTGAATAAAATGTGAAAGTTCTCTTTTTTCTCTCGGTTGATGTACAGTAATTACCTGTGTAGTTTGTACATTGCAGGGGATGGATGATCCAGAGCTATTTGTTGTACAGTTAATGAAAGGAGAGGAACTAATTTTTTAATGCATTTATAGCTTAATGTATTTAATCCATAGAACAACTCTGAAAGGCGGCTGTAATTATCCTTGTTTTATAGATGGGGAAGTTGAGGCTTAGGGAGGTTAAGTAATTTCTCCACGATCACACAGCTAGTAGGTGGTAGAGCAGACGTTGCAGCCGGTATGTCTGCTTGTTTCCAAAACCCTTGATCTTGCACTGTGTCCCTCTTGGGGAAAGTGACAGTTCAGGAAAATTTTGCTGGGGTTACTTCAATTTTTAGCTAATGAGGAAAAACTAAAATGAGAAAAAAAGTGGAGACCGCTTGAGGAGTGGAGGATTTTCTTTAGAAATTGCTTTGGTTGCCAATACTACAGTAGGTATTTTTGCGTTCTTTTAGTATTTTTATTATTTTAAGAGCCCAGACTTTGGGAGTATAGTGGAGTCTGCTTTCCTACCTGCTCCTTCTTTACTTTGGTGAGCTTTGCCCTGCAGAATTGGGAGGAGGGGGTGGCTTATGTTGTGTTGTGGTTCTCTAGCTTTATCACCCGGCTGTTGCAAGGACAAATGAGGTTTAGTGTGAATCCCTGAGAGTATTGAGGAAAATCTCCATTATGTATTAAAATGCATGTAATTTTGGTATTTTATTCTGTAATATAACCATAGTTATTTTACTATATTAAATGTTTTAAATTCTTAACCAGGAATAATTTGCAACCCCTCCCCTTTTGCTCCACAATTCAGCAACTAAAGTTGCTGCTTTAGGAAGATGCGTCATGTTTTCCTGGTGTGTGCCTGTGCCTCAGTGTAAGCAGCACAGCAGAAAATTACATCTTTGTGCTTGAATTATGAAAGGATGAGATGTGGAATGGCATCCAGTTTCTAGCAGCTGCTAGACTATACCTCTCCTAATTTTTTGTTCATTTATTATTTACTTAGAGTCATAATATATTTTCTCTTTGTTTTCTAGTGGTAGAATGAGAAATTTAGAAAAGAACACGTTTACAAAAGAAGCTTTAGCTTTGGCTTGGCGATATTTTTTACCTCCATACACCTTCCAGATCAGAGTTGGTGCTTTGTATCTGCTATATGGATTGTATAACACACAGCTGTGTCAACCAAAACAAAAGGTAATACTTGTTTTCTTCCAGCTGAAATATGGAAGAGGTACAATATTTTTTACAACAAACAGATTTAAATAGAAACCCCAGTGTTTCAAAATTATAATACATTTGTGAAAAAAGATTTACGTTTAATAACAACTTTTTTACTCCTCTTGTTTGCAGGTTAGAGTTGCCCTGAAGGATTGGGATGAAATTTTAAAATTTCAGCAAGATTTGGTAAATGCACAACATTTTGACGCAGCTTATATTTTTAGGAAGCTACGACTAGACAAAGCATTTCACTTTACAGCAATGCCCAAATTGGTATGTTATCTAAAATAGATTGTTTTTCAAAATGAGATATTATGCTTCATGGTCCATAAAGTACCTCAGTCTCCATAAAGTGGACAGAATATTATATAGTTTCCAATACTTGTAGAGAGGCTTCTTAAAATAGGATAAAATGCTTTCTGATTACTTTTTTTTTTGAAGACAAAAATTCCTCTCTGCTTTTAAATGCAGTGTGTTTCTGGATACTGTGTCACGCAGATTGTTAGAAGAAGAAATTAGATTTGGCATCTGCATTTTCTCATTCCTTTATTCAAATATCAGAAAGGTTACTGAAAGAGGACCAAGGAATTTTAATGTGAGTTGGTGAAAAGTTGAAACTTCTACTGATAAAATATGATATTTCTTCAGTCTTATGACAATTGAGACACTAGATTCTAGTCCTGGTTCTGCCATCCGCTGGCAAATCGTGTAACGTCTCTGACTCTCATCTGAATTTGTAAGCACGTGTCGTGGCATCTTAAGACTTATTTCAAAAGTCTAATTGTCTTTAGAAAATGAATCAGTTAATAAAGATATACTTAGAGCTGCTTTTGTTTCATCCATGTTTACTAATAGATAAATTTTACTGCTGGCTTACTTATTTCAGTACTTAAGAAATATCCTTTAAAACACATTCATTATCATATAGCTGTCATATAGAATGAAGAAAAAAATTCAACGAGCTGAAGTTACAGAAGAATTTAAGGACCCAAATGATCGTGTCATGAAACTTATCACTTCTGATGTATTAGAGGTAAGTTTGCTTTTATGCTCTTGAAATTTTTAAAAAAATGTTTTATTGTTAACTGTATATTGAGGTTATACCTTCATCCACTGGATACTGAAAAATTTTCTAATGATTTTAACCAATCGTAGAATGCTTATTATTTTCCCTAAAGTATCAGAAATAATACATCCTAAATATATCAAAATTTATGGAATAAATCTTGAAACACAGTGAGAAATGGAAAGATGTAGAAGACTGGACGTGGACTCAGGATATTTAGATTCAAATACCGAAACCACCATTTGTATTTGACTTTAGATAGGTCATAAAACAAGAGTGTAAAGTGACTTTATTTTATTTTTTTAACAATATGAATTCATTTCCTAGGTTCCTTTTTTACAATGCTTATTTAAAAACCCACCATTTTTTTCTGATAAAAAAATTGAAATCAAGAATTTTGTGTAAGAGGTACAGTCTTAAAATAGCTTTACCATCTATTTTGGTACTTTGAGTTGTACAGTATTGGGAAAAATCCTCTTTCAAATGGATAAGTAGTGATACTCACACAGTTTTATGTGTGTGGAAGAGCGTTGCCCTGAGGTTAAAACAAAACCCCACTACAGGGCTACAGCCGTCTAATCAATGGTGCATTCCTGTTTCAAAAGAATGGATTCATAGAGAGAGAGCACATAAGCGAGTGAGTGTGTGTAGGGAGGGCCTTGGTCATGGTTTTTAATCTCATTGAGCCTTAGTTTCTCCCTCTTTAATATTAGAATTACAGTCCTGATTTCATCCAGTTGTGAGAATTGAAACTGAATCATGCCTGAATAGTGGTGTGTGTGGCATATGACACATAGTAGACTCTTAATAAATATTACTTTTTTTTTTTTCCCAACCTTATTCAGTCTTTTCCTATGTCAGGAGTGAAAGAGGGATCAGATCTTTGATTTGCTCAAATATTTCTCCATGTGCTAGATGCCGACGTGTGCTGATACCTTGAGCCTGTCAGGTTGCATCTATGGTGTTTGTAATTCAGGTAGCAAATTGATTTTTGAAAGCACTCTGAGTCTGATCTGTAAAATGACTTTATTTTTGAGCAAAAATTGTTAATGTGGGATCCATGGATGGCCTTCAGATGGTCCATGTATCACTTTCCCCCCTAAATTGTATGATAAATTGAGTGTCATACGTATGGATGCTTGGTTACAGTGAGGTACCATAACTATCCTCAGATTCTCAAAGGTGTTTTTGCCCCCAAAAAGGTTAAGAATTACTGCATTAGAAGGAAATTGAATACTAAATGTCTAAAGACATAGTATAGTGCAGGAGCTATACAAGATGTTTTGTGTAGATTATTTTACTCCTTACAACATCTTTGCAAAATAGGTGCTTTAAACAATTTTTAATTATTTGTTAATTCTTTTTAAAGTAGGTGTTTTTATCCCTGATTTAAAGTTGAGGCACAGAGATACTAAGTTAGGAAGTGTTGGAGCTAAGCTTCTGTATGGCTGCAGTGCCTATTGGTTAGACAGCAAAGGCTTTGTCTGAGCTGGGACTGAGGTTAGAAATATATCATTCAGCAAACATGGGAGTAAAGTATAACAAAAATTCCGATCTTTAACCTCTAGCGGCTCAGCGAGAAAGAGGTGGGAGAGATTATATGTAGAAGAATAAATGTGATAAGAGAACTTTGTATAATAGAGGGAATTTGTACTTTGTCTTTTTGGTAGAGGGGAATCATTTAAAAGTTTGCGAGATTTGACAGACTCAAAGTATATATTTAGGTTTAGGGAAGGAGAGGTTGTGTGAAACAGAGGGAGCAAGCACCGCCGGTGGTGTAGTGGTTAAGTTCGTGCACTCCGCTTCCACAGCTCAAGTTCACAGATTCGGATCCCAGGTGTGGACCTACTCCACTCACCAGCTGTGCTGTGGCATTGTCCCACACATAAAGTAGAGGAAAACTGGCACAGCTGTTAGCTCAGGGACGATCTTCCTCAAGGAAAAAGAGGAAGTTTGGCAACAGGTGTTAGATCAGGGCCCATCTTCCTCACACACACTCACACACAAAAATAGAGCAAGGTTCCTGCTGTGGAGGAAGTGGTTGGGTCTGTGATGAAGAGCCCAGTGGAGAGATAAGCCTTGAGCAGGAGAAGGCACACTTCTTCCTCTTGAAACTTTAGGGAAGGAGGTGAAAAGGATTTGTATAATTTGTTGTGAAGAAGAGAAATAGAAGGCAAACAGACCTGATAGCCTGCACTTTGAGAGGGCCATGGGGGTTCAAGGAACTGAGAATTGAGAAAGTTTGGAGTAGCCATTGTGGAGAATGAAAGATTTTGGGGTACCATAAAGATTTTGTTAAGAAGTACTGATGTGAATCATAAAGACAGAGGCAGAGGATGTTTTAGAACAGCAAGACATTGTTCTTATCAATATTCTAATGAAAAAAGATGATTTGAATCCAATTGGTTATAATTTTTGATTGTTGCCTAATATGGTGGTAGAATGTTAATTTTTTTCCAACATACCTTCTTAAACACACTTTTTGATTTTAAGCTCTTTTACTACAACGTGTTGAATTAAAGCTTCCTATGTTAAAAAAAAATTGTATATGTCAGCAAACAGGTATGGATGATTTTAGAGAACAGAGCTGGGGTGATACACAAAGCCATATTCTTTTAGTGTCATTGGAGAGGAGGGTCAGAAGGCCAGCTATGAAATCCTTATTCCTAGAGGCTTCTAGGAATGGAGTAGTCTGTGTGAAGTCATCCTGACTTTGTCTAGGGTCTTTGCTTGCCACAGATCTGCTTTGAGAGACTTTTCTCTCAATACCTCTGTTGACTCTATTCATCCTGTACTAGCATAGCCTTTGACCCATTCTCACTGATAATCCTTACATTTAATACTTTTCTACTTTCCTTCGACTGCCTGCAGATGCTATTAAGTCTCCATGTCAGCAGACCTGAATTCTGGTCATGTCTCTGGCACTCATTGGTTCTCGTTTTGTGATTAAGGAGGCGTAATAAAATGAAGAGAATAGGATATTAAATCAAAACATCTGATTTTTAATTCTAACTTTGCTACTTAAATATGACCTCGAACCAATCATTTCATTTCTGAGTCTGTTTCTTCATTTATACAATTATAATAATGGTCATTGTGTGTTGAGTTTTCAACATGTGCCAGGAACTTTATTAGATATTTTACATATATTATTCTCACTAATCATCATTAGTAGCCCTGCAGAGGAGGTGGTATTTTCCTAATTTTAGAAACAAGGAAGCTGAGGTTTAGAGAAGTTAAGTAATTTGCATAAAGTAAGGTGCAGACCCTGGATTTGAATGTTCAAGTTCATGTTTCAAGTTCAAGTCTGTAAGGCTCCAAAGTCCATACACTTTCTTTTATTTCTTAATCCTTTAATTTTGCATAGTGCTTTACATTATACAGAACATTCTTACTTATATAAGCTCACTTAATAATTTTACAGGGCGTTAGGTGGCATTACCTAATTTTGTACAAATTGGGAATGTGATTCTCAGATTGAGGGATTTGCTCAAGGTCACAATCTAGCAAGTGACAGAACTGAGACTCAAAATCAGGTCCAGCTAGTAGTGTTCTTTCCCCTGTCCTGTTGTATTGCATGTAGTAAAATAATGGAGGTACAGCACATTGTAAACTGTAAAAAGTTAGGGGCTCCCCATGCCTGGACACTGTTTCCCTTTGAAGATGGTGCATATGTGAGAACTCACCAGTACTGAGCGGTTTCTGATTCCTTGAGTAGATGTCTGTGGATTCCATCAAGGTCTACTAGAAATGAATTGACTAGCCTGACTCGGGGATGACTCAGAGGTTGCAGTGGCCGTCTACGATGGAAGTGTCAGTAGTTCTCTGCTGGTCTTTGAGCCCAGTCCCAGTACTGGTTTTATCTTGTTTCTTAAGTCTGCCTGCAATGTGCTATCTTTCTCCTTACCTCATAGACTTGTCCATTTGGCTGGAGTTTTGGGGGAGGAAGGTCTAATTAATAAATGATACCTCAAATGGTGTCATAAATCATCCTCTATTTCTTTTAATCCTGAATCTTATCACTGAAGTAATGATGAAGCTTATGGGGGCAGGCACACAGGCTTTGATGTTTCTAAAAGTCAGCACATCTCTGTGAAGGATTGGGTGAGAGTCATTATATAGGAATTTCCAGCAGAGCATAAAGAACTATATAAACACCCTTGATGTGACAATATGAAATAAAAATGTGATCTTGGTTATCAGTAGTGATATTTTATGATATGTTATACTACTAATAATTTTTGTTATATCTAGGAATGCAATCCTATGTTAACTAATTGGTCTTTCCCCAGTGTCTCTCCATACAGTGTATATAAGTTAATGTTTTGGAGTTGAATTCAATGAGTCCTTACCTCTGGAAAGCAGCCTTCACTAATAAAGTTGTACTATTTTGCTTGCGTGATTATGTCATTTTCAACATACTGTAGCATGTTATTCCTTATCAACTCAGTCACTTTGGAAGGTTGTTTTATTTTATGTTGGTTTTGCCTTTAAGTTTCTCTTCAAAAATTGAAATAAAAGACTCATCTTTTCACTTTTAGGAAATGCTGAATGTTCATGATCATTATCAGAACATGAAACATATAATTTCAGCTGATAAGTCCAATCCAGACAAAGCCCTCAGCTTGATAAAGGATGATTTCTTTGACAATATTAAGAACATAGTTTTGGAGCATCAGCAGTGGCACAAAGACAGAAAGGTATGCGACGGCTTGTCTGATACCTCACCTCTGCATTTGCCTTGCTCACGAATGGCTCCACGTGGGTGGCACTGTTAAGAGGCAGCCCGTTGAGTAGCTGCCTCCCTGTGCCGCTAAGATTTAGAGGGTGTCATTTCTATTCCGGCTTTGCCACTTGTTAGTTATGTGATGTTATTTAACCTTACAATCTGATTTTATGTATAATTATATATATAATTAAACAATTATAATTAATAACAATTATATAATATATAATTAATATATGTATAATTGTAGAGGAATAAGTAATCTTGGTATACCACACGTTTATTACAATCTTTATAATTTAGTGTTTTGCAGAGGTTGCACACTGGCAGTCTTTGGGCCGAATCCTGCACACAAATGGATTTTGTTTGTCACAGTGTTGATCCTACCATTGTTTTAAATATTTAAATTAACTAATATTTAAATATTTGTGGACTTCATTTAAAATTCCAGACACCCAACTTCTCTTAAAAACCAGAGATTTGGCAACACTGGTCCCACTTTGCTGCATGGCAGCAAACAGGTAGACCTGAGTAGTGGCTTCTCCCATTGTCACAGGGCATGTGCTTCTCTGTTTGCCACATGCTGTATCTGCCTTGGTTTATCCATTTACAAATCTCATCAACACAAATCTTCAGTTTGGTTTTCTGATCCAAATACTGATGCTAGAGCTGCCCATATTCCACATTAACCTTTTCAGCTAGAGAAACTTTTTTACTCTGGAAACCTAAAGGCCAGCCTTACTAAATTTACTTTTGAAACCACTGCTCCATCTTATTTTAGTAAATAGGTCTAGGAAAAAGTAAAAGTAAAAAATGAACAATTTCTGATTACTTACTGTGGGTCTGATAACGTGTTAGTGTTTTCACAAATGTTAGATAGGTGTTATTATTTTATATATTGTCTTTCAGAAAGACTTGTTGCCACCTTTTGGCTTTCTATTATATAAAAAGGGAGCTGGCTCAAAACTTAATTTTAGAAAAGATAAAAAAGGCAAGTGATGAGGAATGACGGTCTTGGGAAGAAGGAAATAATTTGCTTCCTCTACTCACATTTATTTTAATGAGAGAGAGCACATTTTAGAATGTTTGAATACTTGAAGTGCTACAAATGGGTTACATAAATGATCTAGGCATTTAATGTAAAAATCTGTTATAGTACTCTCTTTTAATAAATAAACTCTCTTTAATGAGCATTACCATGACCTCTGAAAACCTGAAGGAAAGGAGGATAAACCAGTTTTCTTACTACCACATAAACTGCGTGTTATTCTTCATTAGTTAGGAGGATTTAGGCATTTTATTGATGAATTTTAGAACTATTCTGAAACCTAACTGTGATGTTAATGTTAGGTGGTAAGCTAGGCTACAATAACGTGAAACGATCTTTTGGTTTTTCAGTAATTAAAAATAAATGATTCTCATTGTTATGAAATTGATTTGCAGTTAATTTTTAGTTAATTTTAATTGTAAATGTGTATATATAACTTTTTTGCTCTTTCAGAATCCATCCTTAAAATCAAAAGTTAAAGATGGAGAAGAAAAGAGGGAAGGAAATTCACGAGAATCAGAGGTCAGAAAAATTTACTGTATCATTGCTTACAGGGCAATAGTTTAGTTAGCTTCTTTTCATTTTATGTGTGGCTGTGATTCTGTATACCAAGCATTATTACCCTTTGTCAGTATTATAATAAAAATCCCAGAAAATTCTGAAACATGGGTTCTGTGAAGAGCTAGTCTATTCTTTACTGGAAACCTTGTGAGAGACATCAGGTGTAGATTGGGAGTGAGGATGTTAACAGTGTTCAGCAGGGAAAGGGAAGGATGATGGTAAAAGGTGCCCTCGGTCCTTCCAGGGGCAGAGTAAGGCTTTGTAATATGTCTTTTCTCACTTCCTGTCAGTCTTTCACCCAGTGGGGAGCTCAAGCTACTATTTACTGCTTCCTGTGTCCAGTTTTCATCCATCTCAGTGGATGAGACAAGGAGCCATCTTTGGGCATAGGCAGATGAGGAGGGAATGGCCTGGTCACCAAGGCTTTCATTCATATTATCCTCCTTAAATCCTGAATGAAAACGATCAGTACCTCTCTGGAGGGTATCATGCTACCTGCTATGAAAATGTGTGTGTTTAAGTGTCTTTACTCAATATGTGTCCAGTAACTGTTAGTTCTTTTACCCTGCTTTCTGTCTCAAATCTTATTTCTGATAACAAATACTTGGGTTTTCATAATTTCACTTAATGTTAATGTGTTTTAACTTTTTCCCCTTCCTGTTTATTTTTACTTCCAGAGATGTGAAAGGGCAGAATCATTAGCGAAAATAAAATCAAAGGCCTTTTCAGTTGTTGTTCAGGTAAGTTATTTGTTTAGTAAGGTAATTTAGAAATTCACTTGTTGCTTTTTAAATTTTTATTTTTCATCAAAGTAATACATGTACATAGTTTAAAAGTCTAATAATACTATATAGCTTATATAAGCCAACCATCTCCTGCTCCACCACTTCCCACCCCTGTATTCCTAATCTTAGGAGGCAACCATCTTCAACTTTTTCTCTTTTAGCTGTTTCTTCTGGTATTTACCTAGAATTTTGATGCCATTGCTCATTATTGTCTTCCAGCTTCTAGTATTCCTGATCATAGAAGGTTTTAGGGTTTTCTCTTTATCCCTGGAGTTCTGAAATTTCATGATAATGTAACTTGGTATAGGTCTTTTTTCCATCATTGTCCTTGGCTCTTACAGTGGGCATCCTTTTGATCTGATAGCCTTCAGTTCTGAGGAGTTTTTTTGTATTGTTTCTTTGATAGTATTCTTTACTGCACTTTTGCTCTTTTTCTTTTCTTGAAATTTTATTTTCTTATTTTTCTTTTCTGTTCTCAATCTTTCTATTTTGAGGGAGATTTCTTTTTTTTTTTTGTGAGGAAGATCAACCCTGAGCTAACATCCGTGCTAATCCTCCTCTTTTTGCTGAGGAAGACCGGCTCTGAGCTAACATCTATTGCCAATCCTCCTCCTTTTTTTTTTCTTCCCCCCTCCAAAGCCCCGGTAGATAGTTGCATGTCATAGTTGCACATCCTTCTAGTTGCTGTATGTGGGACGCGGCCCCAGCATGGCCGGAGAAGCGGTGCGTCGGTGCGCGCCTGGGATCCGAACCCCGGCCACCAGTAGCGGAGCGTGCGCACTTAACGCTAAGCCACGGGGCTGGCCCCTGAGGGAGATTTCTTAAACTTCATCTTCTGAACTATTATATTGAATTATTATTTCTTCTGACATTTTTTCATTACTAAGATTTTTTCTTGTTCCCTGAATCTTTTCTTACTTAAAAAAAAGTATCTTTTTTTTCTGGATGCAATATCTTTATCTCTTTGAGGATATTGATTACAGTTTTTTGAAGTTTCTTTCTTTTTCCTCAGAGTTCCTATTTTTGTTTAGTTTGATCTCTGTCTTTCATTTTGGTGGCTTTTTTCAAATGTTTGAAGATCCTCATCATATTTAAGAGTGGTCATGTGGAGATAGAGCTTTTTAGCCTCAGTATTTCTCTTGGATCTAGTCATTCTTACCAGAGAGCAGTCTTCCATTCCCTTGTCCAGGGGAGGAAAGTGGTAACTGAGCCCAGCTGCCGGTGTTCTGGGAGCCTACAGAGAGACTCAGGCGAGAGGCTCACCATTCCTTATGCAGGTTTTCACTGAACCTCCCTATTTTCAGTAGAAGGTGTGATTTGTCCCCTTCCTCAGCTCTTCCAGTCTCCTCAAGCCTACAGCTTCTCTGGTGTAGCCTCCCCAGAGAGCACACCTCCTGTTTTCTATAGGAGGGGGTCAGTTGTTTAGTTTTGACACTGGGAAAAGGGACACTGTTCCCTTTGTAGATTTTCAACGTATCTACCCATTTTTTTACTCCCATTTCTGATGACTCCAATTCCTGATCCACTTGGATCAGCTTGCTTTATAGTAACTTCCTCAATACAGGCCATTAGGTTTCAGCTCTCTTCATTCTGTTAAATCAGCTATCACTCTCTCTCTTCCAAAAGTTTGTTGTTTTTGTTTACAGCTGCATTGTTTCCTGTTATCTCTGTTTTGTGAATTTATTTATTTATTTATTTATTTTTGTGAGGAAGATCAGCCCTGAGCTAACATCCATGCTAATCCTCCTCTTTTTGCTGAGGAAGACTGGCTCTGAGCCAACATCTATTGCCAATCCTCCTCCTTTTTTTTTTATTTTCCCCCAAGCCCCAGTAGATAGTTGTATGTCATAGTTGCACATCCTTCTAGTTGCTGTATGTGGGACGCGGCCTCAGCATGGCTGGTTGAGCAGTGCGTTGGTGCGTGCCCGGGATCCGAACCCGGGTCGCCAGTAGCAGAGCACGTGCACCTAACTGCTAAGCCACAGGGCCAGCCCCGAGTTAATTTATTTTTATTCCTTTACTCTCATTTTAATGGGATTTCAGGAGAGAGTACTGATAAATTTATGTGCTTAATCTCATTTTTTTTGTGAATTTTTTTCATGAATCTAAGAATAGCTTTATTCTGTGGGAAATTACTATCATTCTCTGGTTGTAGAAATAAAAAAGAATAAATAAAAAAATTAAAAGTGAGTATAGATTAGTTGTGTTATATATTTGCTATACCACAGTAAATTGAGTACAAAATATTGTTGACTGAAAACACCAAGGACAATAAATAAATTATTCCAAATTCTTTTAAACTAGAACGATTTCCATATTGTATGGTACTAAGTGATGTTTAATGTATATCTTAAGACATTATGAAATACTTCTTAAAAATCATTAAACAAATTATAATCCCCATAAATTGTTATAAGTATGTGTCCTTGCATAGTTGTGGGTTTTTTACTTTATTGAGGTATAATTAACATAGAATGCACGGTAGCTTTTTAACACCTGTTAATACCTGCACTGCATATATGACGTTAACTGAAAACTCTTAGTCAGGACTCTGCTTAAGCAAATAAGGGAATTCATTGACTGATGTAACTAAAAAGTCCTTGGACTGTCCCTCCGTTTTTCACCTTTCATGTTGCTTTCACTGGCTTCAAATGCTGTTTACGACAGCTCCAGCCTTGCCTGTTCCCAGGTTTAGGTTCAGTGGAAAGGGAGAATTTTCCTTCCTAATGTTACCAGACACAAGTTCTTTACCCGCCACACAAGAGGGGCCAAATAAAACTGGAACGCCAGGCTTATGGCAAGGAAAGAGTTTTTATTTTGGGTGACATCAACCCAGAGACAAGAGGTCTCAAACTTGTTCCATCTCCTCGAAAGATGGGAGGGAAGGGGTTTTAAAGGTTGTGAGGAATGTGGCTGCTTGTAGGGAGGGGGAGCCTGTGGCCTTGCTGGTCGGTGCTTTCCCACCAGCCTGTATTTGGCCTTGTGAGGCTGCTGGCAGGGAAGGGAGGAGGGTGAGATAAGGGAATCCCCCGTGGGTGACCTTGGTTGTCGCCTCCATGGTGGAGAGTGGATTCTGGTGCCAGGAAGCTGAGGAGTTGGGGTCTGGGGAGCTTTAGCTTCTTGATATTCTCTGGACATCAGTTTCCTTGTAATAAACTTCAGAAGACCCATAACTAGCCAGTGTAAGCCCAATGAGAGGCCACCTTTTAACAATTTTTAACTTCTAAATGTCTTCTGAAGTTCAGGGATACAATGGTTTAAAAAACCAATATTTACATATGAATGCAACTTAGAGAAGCAGGGAAAGGGGATGAGTGTTTTTGGTTTTAACCCCATGTATGCTGGGTGTAACGTAGGGGAACTGATGACAGGGCCGGCATCACTAATAGTTAAGCAGATTTCTAAATTTAAGTTATATCGGCCATGATACAGCTCACATACCCACGCTGAACAAATCACAGTGGCCACGGGGATGTGAGACTCACTTTGACTGGATGGGGCCACATGGCCATACCTGGAGCCAGGCATTAAATAGTTCCACTCGAAACTTATGTGGTAACTAAGGAAAACAAAATGTTATTAGAAGAAAGGGAGGATAGGTTATTAGGCAGTAAAAACAGTACTTGTCCTTTACACCTCCATTTCCCAACCGTGCAGCTAAACTACATTTTAACCCAACAACTACATTTTAACCCAGTTTGAGTAGATGGTGATGACAGCTGCAGGGAACTTTTCCTGTTGTAAAGATAAAAGAGTATATACATGCGATAAGTATTAAGCAAGCTAAGATAATGGTAAAGTACTTTATGACAAGTATTTCCTTAAATCTTTCCCCATCTTAGATTGTGTATTTTGTCTTTCTCTAAATTATCTGTCAGTTGGATTTGCTGTGGTTAATTTGATTTCTAACTCTTAAGGCTTCCAAGTCAAGAAGGCATCGCCAAGTCAAACTGGACTCTTCTGACTCTGATTCTGCATCTGGTCAAGGACAAATCAAAACAACTAGGAAAAAAAGAAACAAAGAAACATTGAAATCAGCAGGAAGGAAGATGTCTTCCAGAAACAGAGGTAACTTCTAAAGTCTTTTTGAGACTCAACAAGGAAAAATGGGTCTCATTTACAACCTCCTCTCCCCATTTTTTTCTTTATCAGAAAAGATTAGATAGTTGTTTGACTGAGAACCTTGTGAGATTTAATATTAAAAATAAATTATCGTAGATTCTTAGACTTTTACTGCTGAAAGGGACTCTAGGAATCATCAAATTTGTCATTTTGTATGATGAAATTTAGGCCCATAAGGATTAAATAACTTGTCCAAAAGTGATATAGCTAAATAGTTATAGAATCAGTCTAGAATTATCCAGAGCATACTTAATTAGTAATTTTTGTGTGTGCATCAAACTTACATGTAAATAAGCTGTGATAAGTAATACAATCTATAAACCATATTTCCCTTTAGCTGCACTAATTAAGCTGTACCTGCTTTTCTTTTGAAATAATGTATCTATAAAATAACCTTTGGTGTTTGCTTTTTAAAGAAATGACTATATTAATTTCAGCAGTTTTAAAAAATTACACAAGGGTCAGGCCCGGTGGCACAAGTGGTTAAGTGCCTGCTCCCGGATGCGCACCGACGCACCACTTGTCAAGCCATGCTGTGGCAGCGTCACATATAAAGTAGAGGAAGATGGGCATGGATGTTAGGGCCGGTCTTCCTCAGCAAAAAGAGGAGGATTGGCAGATGTTAGCTCAGGGCCGATCTTCCTCACCAAAAAAAAAAAAAAAAAATTACACAAATAATATATATATACCATACATAAAGTTGGAATCTGATTAGCAGGCTCAGGAAAAAAAATGGGCATTAGAAACATTAGTAAATATTTCATGCCTAATATAAAACACACTCCTGGCTACTGCAGCATATATGAGGATATGGTACAATCTTTTAAATGTTTTTCTCCTATATTGAGGCAGTGGAGGGAGAATTGAAGTTAAATACCTTTAATATAGTCCAGATATGATTAAGTTTTGTAACAGTTGCTTGAAGTGCACTGAGAATTCAGAGAAAGGATACCACATTTGCTGTGGGTAATCAAGCAATACTTCAAAAGGAGAATTTTCTACTTCTTTCTACAAAGTTAGCAGATAATGTGAAGAGAACTGTAAGACTAATCTCACTTATAACTATTACTAAAAAAATCCTAAGTTATATATATCAAAAGAATTCCAAATGTAAAACAACTTGAATGAGTGTACTCATTCTGGGATGCAAGGATGGTGCAGTTAGGAATCTATCAATATAATTTGCCATATGAATAGGTTAAAGGGGAAAATGTGAAGTCATTTTAATAGTTACCAAGGAAGACATTGGATAAAATCCAGCATACATTCTTGATTTAAAAAAAAATTCCTCGGGGATTAGCAAATTGTTTCTTTAAAGGGCCTGATAGTAAATGTTTTAGGCTTTGTGAGGCATATGGTTTCTGTCACAAGTACTCAGCTCTGCCATTGTAACGTGAAAGCACATATACACAATACATAAGCAAATGAGTGTGGCTGTGTTTCAATAAAATTGTATTTACAAAAACAGGTTTTGGGCCAGAGTTGGCCTAGAGTCATAGTTTGTCGACCCCTGCTCCAAATAAAAGAAATAGATGGTTATTTCTTTAACCTGATTTTAAAAGGAGTGAATGTTGTGTGCTGTGTGTCCGTGCGTTATTAGCCTAAAAGCCACCTCATGTTTATTGATAGTACATAGAAATATCACAATTTTATGTAACATTGCTCTTGAAGGGCTAGTCATAATTAGGCAGGAGAGTGAAGTGAGATATCAGAAAGAAAGGCTACAAAATTATCATGATTTGAAAATGACTGATTTTACACCTAAAGAGTATCCTAAAGAGAATTTGGGGTAAAAAAAAATTAGGAACAAAAAATTTAGTCGGGGCTACCACTGCAGACCTTACAGAAATTAAAAGGATAATAAGGAAAAATTATGAATAATTTTATGCAGATAAGTTAGCTTAGATAAAATGGATATATTTCTTAAAAGACACACATTTCTAAAACTAACACAAAGAAATAGAAAATCTGAGTCATTCTATGTTTACTAAAGAAATTAAATCCCCAGATGGCTTCACTGGGAATCCTAGCAGACATTTAAGAAAGGAATCCTCTTCTTTCAGAAAGTACGAGGGAACACTTCCCAGCTTATTGACATTATAAGAAAAGAAGACTAAAGAACATACATGTAAAAATCCTCATGAACATACGTGTAAAAATCCCTCATGAACATACATGTAAAAATCCTTACAAAATATTAGCAAATTGAATCCAACAATGTATTAAAAGGATAATTATTATGACAAACTAGGGTTTACTCCAGGAGTATAAGGTTGGTTTAACATTAAAAATAAACCAACATAGGGGCCGGCCCCGTGGCTTAATGGTTAAGTGCACGTGCTCCGCTGCTGGCAGCCTGGGTTTGGATTCCGGGCGTGCACCGACGCACCGCTTCTCCGGCCATGCTGAGGCCGCGTCCCACATACAGCAACTAGAAGGATGTGCA